AGAGATTTTCAGAAAAGATAAAGAGATATATTCAATATTGCAGCAAAACAGCTTTAATGACTGCAGCAAGAGAGGGGAATGTCTTCAACCATTTTGGAGGGCAGAGCAGCTTAGCTCAGAGCCAAAGGAAATCCCTGGAAACAGGCCAAGAGATGATGCTGGGAAGGATTAAAAAAACTTTGCAAGACCTGGTAAGCATTTAGATCCTAAATTTCCTACATGATAAGTTTTCATCTTTTTTTTTTGTTTTGCATCCAATACTGACAAGGTTGAGGTTCAGAAGAATGGACGCCTTATAACCCGTGCTTGCGGAGGTAACCTTTGTCTATATAGCAACAACAGGAAAATGTGTTTCTATGGTTTGGAGGGAAAAGGGTGATATTTCCCAGCTATTTTTTTTTAAATATTAACCCTGTCTTGGCTCTAAATCAAATTTTCCATATCTCATTTAGGATAGCTTAAGGTAATCGACCTCCTCCCCATTAGCTAGGAACCCCTTTCAGTGCTGGCTAAATTCAGCAGTTCAAGGGCCTAGAAAGAGTCCATGGTGATAGAGCAGATAAAAAGCCAATTAACTCCTTATGGAAAACGGTGGGAATATTTATGGACTTTGATAATTTAATCTACTCTTTCAAATTCCTTCTATCCAATTTTTCTTAAAATTGACTAACATGCCTTTCAAATATGAGATAAATACCAAAGGAAGGAAATGGGTTAGTTAGGACTGAATCCCATTACCACTCTTTAGAACCCATTTTATCATTTGGTATAATCCCCCAACCTTGATTTGTATATGATCTATTTATCTGCACAGTAAGTTTCACAGCTGGGGAAAAAGTAAAATATCAAGTAAATCAATTGCCTATTTTGTTCATACCTAATAAACCAGTCTCTACACCATCTTCAGTCTTCAAATTCTCAGCATGCAATTCTGCAAATACAAAAGAGGGCTTATGTTGATAAGAAATTTAATTCCCAATAAATCAGCAAGCTTTTATTCACCAATTATGTGAAAAGAACCTGGAATTAAAAAAAAAATCCCAGTCCTCAATAAGCTTATATTCTAGTAAGTGAAATAGGTATACACATAAAGAAATACAAAGTACAAGGTAATATTGGAGGGTGAGAGGTAGTGGTGATCAGGAAAAACCTTGAGTAAGAATTCCTGCTTAAGTACTGAAGCTAAGGCTTCTAAGAGTCAAAGGAGTAGAAAGTCATTCCTCAAATGTACAGACAGATTATCACATGTAAAGGACATCAAGGAGGCCAGTCTGGCTAATTTAAAGAGTCTTAGGACAGGACATGTAATAAATCTGGAAGGCGAGCTGAAGTTAAGAGACATTTTTTATTGTATCTCAGAAGCAGAAGGGAGACATACAATCTTTTTGAATAACATGGTCAGACCTATGCTTTAGTAATATCACTTTGGCAGTTGTGTGAAAGATTGAGAGGTGAGGTACTTAGAAGACCAATTAGGAGGCTTTGGTAATAGGCCAGGTAAGAGGTGAAACGCTGGAATGAAAAGAAAATTACAAGTAACAGATGTAAGAGCTTGTAAGGGCAGAATTTTCACAACTTGCCTAGGGTGACTCTAAGATTGTGAACTCTTGTGATGAGGATGGTAATACTCTAAACACAAATAAGGAAATTAATTAACAAGGGGAAATTTAGCACTGACAGATCATATTAAACGGGTATTTTGGGGTGGAAATTAATCGTTCAACCAGTATGCTACATTGTCTTTTCCATATGAAACCTACCATGGTAGGATACCAGGTGGCAATGCCTTCTATTAGGAATCATGGAAAATGAGGGAAATAAAGTGGATTCTGGATTGAGTTCCTAAAACTTCCTCAAGCATCAGTTAAAGTCCCACCTTCTACAGGAAGCCTTTCCCAGTTTTAATTTCAATGCCTTCCTTCTGAGATTATTTCCTACTTATCCTGTATACAATCTGTTCGTTTGTAAGTTGCCTTCTCCATTAGACTATAAACTCTTTGAGAGAAGGGGCTGTTTTGGGCCACTTATATTTATCCCTAGCACATAAAAGAAACTTAATAATGCTTATTGACTTGACTTGTAGCTATATATGCAAGTATTATTAATACATTCCTGTAAGGTTTCATATAAGTAGGGTAGGTAGGTACTATCTTCACTTGACAAAAAAACAGGCATTGATAAGATAAATGGTCTAAATTCAGAAGTGTTTCCAAACTTTTTTGATCCTACACTTCTTATCAATAAAAAAAATTTTGAGCACATACCCCTGTGTAAATTTACTTATTTATAAGTTATAAACATGTACTACTGCACTAATTATCCATATTGCAAAACTTCCACAAAATATTATGATGAAGTATCTTATCCTATAATATGTAACTATAGGAATGAATACAGGAGTTATAAGCATGGTCAGACCAGCACTTCAGGATAATCCCTTTGGCAACTGTGTGTAGAACAGACTGGAGAAAAGAGATCTGAGACAAGAAACCAAATAGAAAGTTACTGCAATAGTCTAGGCAACGGATGACGACAGCCTGAAGCAATGCAGTGGCTGGGAGTAGAGAGAAGAGTACACTTTCAACTCATGTACTACCAGCTAGTATACAGTGTTCAGGTCTCAGGTTATAACTAACTGTTCCAATGGGTCCACATAAGACCAAAGGGGAGAGATTGGGAGAGTGCATAGCTATGCAAAGATGCAAAATCGAGTTGTTATGCAGTAATAGATGAAGCAGGGGTAGTATATCTGTGTTGGAAACAATCCTAGGGAGTCAGCTGATTATGAAATAAACAGTGAGATGTGATCCTCATATCTACTACTACTGCTTGATCTCCACTGCTAATTTTACAACAAAAGTCCCAGAAATTTATTGTTGGAAGTTTGAGCCATTTTAAAAAGAGGCCCTAACTGGAGCATTTCCATTTGACTGGTTTGCAGACTTTCATAAAAGGAAAAAAAGAAAAAAGTCTCTATTTCCTTTAAAAAATAAAAATGGCAAAGACAAGTAATAAACTGAGCTAACATAAGCTTCAACACGATGAAATCAGTATACTAATCTCTGTGGGACAGTAGGTGGTGAATAGCTAGTTGGTGCAGTGGATAGAGCTGGGAATCTGAGTTCAAATCTGGCCTTAGACTCTTCCTAGAGGTGTGACCCTGGGCAGGTCAGTTAAACTTGTTTGCCTCAGTTTCTCATACGTAAAATGAGCTGGAGAATGACATGGCAAATCATTCCAGTATCTTTGCCAAAAAAATCCCAAACGGGGTCAAAAAGAATAGAACACTGAAACGACAGAACAAGTGGGGCAGTAAGGTATCCAAGCTTAAGACCCCACCGCCCCGCCCGGCCTTTCGGCAAGAAGCCTTTACCAGTCGTTACTTAGTGCCTTCCCTCTGAAACCTGTTGCCCATTTTAACCTGTATAGACTTGTTTGTACATAATTGTTTCCACGTACTTTTCCAGGAATTAGACTGTGAGGTCCTTGAAAGCAGGGGCTGTCTTTGGCCTTTGTTACCACCAGCACTTAACACAGTGCTTGGCCACCGATTAGGTGCTAAATAAATACTAGCTGACTACTAACTGCTAAGCCGAGGTCCCACCCCCTACACCCAGCGTCTGCACTCCATTGCTGTCCCCCACTTTCCCCGTGCAGCTCGAGTACCTTTCACGATCATGTAGATGATAGCTAGGAGGAAAGCAAGAAGGGCGGCGAAGAGAAGAGAACAGACCACCGAGAGGATCTGCACCGGCCACCGCCGGCCCCGGGGAGCTCGGGCGGCCTCAGGTACCCTCGGGGTGACCCCATTGTGTTTATGGGGCTGAGGCGGCGGCGTGTCGGCCGAGAGCTCGGCTCGGAGATCCCGGACCACTTCGTTTATCCCTTCTTCCTCGTAGTCATCCTCTCCTTCCCCCCAGCTACCCCCAACCTGGGAGGGGGAGGCGTAGGCAGGGAGGACCAGGCTGGCCGGAGGCCCGACTCGGCGGTGGCGAATCGAGCGGCTCCCGCTAGCAAAGAACGACATGGCGGGAAAACTGGCAACGTAACCCGGAAGCTCAGGGGTTTCCTCCCGCCCCCCCTCCCCCATTGGCCAATTAGCGCCCCAAAGACTCCCCGGTGCCTACCAACGAAGGTGGGGGGGGTGTACCCCAGGGATGAGGAGGGGGCAGGAGCGCTTGGAAAAAGTGTATCAGAAAACGAACTCGACACTGGGAGCTGAGGGAGGGGGAAGGCCGAGGGAAGCGGGAGAAGGCGGAGGAGAGGACGGGAGGAGAAGGCGGACATCCCAAAAAGTACAGTCCCCTCCCCTCGGGGTGTCTGGTCCTAGTCCCGAGACCTCCGCCTCCGCCACCGCGTAGCCTCCAGGCAAGCCGAGCACGTCCCAGCCCAGCCGGTCCCTCCTAAGCCGCAAATCCGGGCGCTCGGTCCTAGAGCCCGACGCCATTGCTGCCGTCCGCACCCCCTCTGAAACCCCTTCCCTAGTCCGTCCGCTTTTTTTTCCGTCCTCCCCTTCGAGGCACACGAGGGGACTTTCTCGGTTTCCGCCTAAACAGCATCTTTAGCGCGCGACGGCCTGTCTCTTCCTTTGCCTAAACTGCTTTTCCCCATCCCCCTACTCGGCTTTCAACCTTCTCCCCACTTCCACACTCCCCTTCTCGCGCAGTGCCGCGTCACGCTCCCCCTCTTCACCCCGGCCATCGCGTGCTTCGCCAGTCTCGCGCTTTCTCACCCGGTGCCTTCCGCGTCCTCGAGCCCCCTCCTCTTCCCCTCCTCCCTCCCCTTTCCCCCCCCTCCCCCGCCCAACCTCGAGCGTCGCGCGCGCGCATCCTGTCCCAGCCACCGCTAACGCTAGAAGCTGCTTCCCCCCCCTCCTGGCTCCCCGGCGGCCTCAGGTTTGTGGGGCGTGCGTAACTGGGGTGGGGGGTAAAGGCGGCAGCCCCCCCACTGCCCCTCCCCCTACGGGGTGAGGTGGCTGTTAGGCCCGGGAGGCTGGGGCCTACGTACTCTTCTCTTCCCCGGGGGAAGTTGGTGGAGTTTTCCCGGCGGGGGACTCGGCGCAGAAACTTCCTCCGTCCCCCTCCCCCCCTCCATGCAGGCGACGCCGAGCGAGGCCGAGGCCGGGGGCGAATCGCCGCAGAGCTGCGTGCAAGCTGCGCGCGCTGATTGGACGGCGGGGAAGCCAGTCAGCTTATTGGCCCCGCTGATCCCGCCCCGCAGCTCCGGGCAGCCTCTACCCTTTGGCCCCAGCGGGCGCCAGCCACTCAGATCGCTCCTTGTTGGAATGTGTAGCGGCAGCGGCCGCCGCCGGAGCAGCCTCAGCCCGACGATGAGGCCGGGGACGGGAGTCGAGCGTGGAGGCCTCATGGTGAGTGAAATGGAGAACCGCCCTCCACCGCGGGGTCCCGGGAACGGGGAGCGGAGACTGTCCAGCTCAAGCCTCTGCTCCAGCCCATGGGCCTCTGCGGACGGCTACCTGAGGAGACGGCCCTCGGTAAGGGAGCGGTGGGGCGGGGGAAAAGCGGCACAATGAAAAAAAGAAACAGGAAGCCTTCTCCTTGTGGGGAAGAAAAAAAAAGGTGGACAGAGGAGAAGGCCTGAGGTGGCGGGATCTGGCTCTGAGGGAGGGAAATGGAGGGCGGAATAGCACAAAGGAAAGGATGTGGGTCCCTAGGAGGTGGGTATTACTGTGGCGAAGATGGAGGAGGGAGCCCTGGGCAGAGCCAGTGGCTGGGTGTTGGCAGCAGAAGTCTGCTTTGGGGTGCAGGCCTGATTTGGCCAGAGTAGAGAAGGGAGGGATGTGACTTAAGATGAAAGGAAGGAAAGAGTGAGCAAGGCTGGGTAGAGTTGCTAAGAGTATAATTACTTTACGTGATTTGAGACATTGGGCACCTTTGTGGCCTAAATAATTTTGATTTTATGAACTTGTTAAAGCAGATACGCTTTCTGTTGGACTTTCTGTACATAGCTTGCAGAATGACCAACCAACAATAGTTATTGACTTTTAGAACTGAAAGTGAAAAGTAGCTTTTCGGAGAGAGATAGAATGTTTTGATCTACCTTAGTAAGAATTTTTCGGGAAAATGACAGGTTTGACACTGGAGAAACATCTACAGGTAGCGTTTTTATTCGTTGAACTTTTTGAAATCATCCGTCCTTTATCTGTGAGACAGAATAATTTAGGCTAAAATTTAAAAGCTTGTCTTGGTATATAAATAGAATAATCATCAGGTCTTCCTTAGAATTGGTCTTAAAATAGGTTATTTATTTTTTTTGGGCAAACTATATTTTAGCACAATAGCTTACTAAGGTGCTAATTGTTTTTCGTCATTTTTGATTATACATAAACAGGCAGTTCTTTTTCTGATCTTCCCTCCTTTATAAAATCCATATATTATAAATGGGCAAATCTCTATAAAAGTTCCTTAGTTTTACCAAATATCTTACCACTTCACTTCAGTGATAGCATTCTTGGTGCTTTTGGGGGTGGGAAGACTTTATTATTAATTGATGTTTTCTTTACTAACACTGTTTTTCAGATGGGACACCCTGGCATGCATTATCCACCCATGGGAATGCACCCTATGGGTCAGAGAGGAAATATGCAACCTGTACCTCATGGAATGATGCAGCAAATGATGCCCCCTATGGGAGGTCCTCCAATGGGACAAGTAAGACAGTTTTAAAAATTATATTTGCTTTATAGCATCCTTGTGATAAATAATTTAAAGCATGGATAAATGTTAGTAAATAAGTCAAGGATTGACATTTCCCCAAAAACATAGTCAAAGGTTTCAAGTGAAATGAAATGTTGAATTATCTCCGTAACCAGAGTTTTAACTGTACTGAGGCTGTCGTCCACATAAAAATGCTCACCTTTTCCACTTTGAAAAAATATGCTTGAATAGCAGTTTTTTGGTAGCTTAAAGGTTATGTTTTTAGTTGACTGATTTGATTTTTGTCAAGCAAGTCAATTTGATCTTATGCCCTAGCTGCAAATCTAGAAACTATCTGTTCAGTTCACCATGTATTTTGTGGGTTATCCAACTGAGGTAAATGTATGTAAGAATAAGAAAACCTACATCAGCAACATTGTTTAGGTATTTGCCTTAGAATTTGAGTGTTATGCATTTTTTGATACCAAAACAGTCTTCTTGCATTTTCCTGTTCCACATTCCTAATTTTCTATAGGACACTTTTATTTTGAATTGAGAAAGTGCTTGTTGATTTTCTTCACTCCTACTGATGAACTGTCCCTTCTCTCTCTAGTATAAGTTGTAAATAGGAGTGATTTGTATCAAGAAGCTTCATTAGTGCTAACTCAGTTACCCTGTAGTGTTCTAATCAGGAAGAGTAACTAAATTCAGTTATTGTGACTGATATTTATGCTTTAAGTCTGTTAGATGCTATATGAAATTTAAGTAGCCGGTTTCTCTCCATAAGAGTCTTGATAAATCATCAGAAATCTAGACTGCTATATCACATGGAGGCAATCAAAGGTACTGAATATGATCTTTCTCTAATTAGTTTTGTTTAGTTTGATAATTGTTAAAAGATCATTGAGTTCATAGTGAAATTGTATAGCAGCCAGGATGGAAAAAGAGTCTTTTTTTTTTTTTAATTAAAACTAGAAAGGTTTGTCACAAATGCTTTTCTTCTGTGTAGTTTTTCTATAGTAAAACCAATTAGTAGTTTAAAACTCTTTATTCAAAGGTATCTGGCCCAAGAGACTGGCTCTTTGCCCATAGCATCTCTTTAAATAATTGAGCCATTGGCCTTCTGATCTAGGAACAACACAAGTTTCAAAACTCTCTTGGTGGTGGAGAAACAATTCTGTGATCCTTCTTCTGTTCCTTACAGTCTCCCAAGCAGCAAGGAGCTCTTGGTTTCTTGATAGAGCTGCTCTAACTAGATATTGAGCTTTTAAAAAATATTTATTCTTTAAATGCTCTGGTTCTTATTTAAAATTAGTTTCTTTCCACAGAAAGATAAAATAAAACAATTTGCTACTGCCAGATGCTTCTCTCTTTTCTGGGGCCTTCTGTTTCCATTGGGCCAATCAAGGTAAGTTATGCAAGGGATTGACCTGCTTTTACCCTTGCTATGGTGCCATGGCACTATTTTTCAAAAACCAAGACACCAATTAGTCATTTTCTAATTAAATGCAAATACTTTACCTTTTTATAATTGTTTTGGTTTGTCTTAGTGTGCTGTCAGCTGGTCACAGTTTACCTTAAGGCCTTTCTGGTTTAGGTGCTGTAGTGACCACTTTCTTTTTGGGTGTATTTCCCAGTTAATTACACATCCATTCACGCATTGGGCAGTCTGTGCTTTGTGGTTTTTTTCCCACATTCTCTTCCAAAAGCCAACGTGTCATGTGTGTACACATCTCACTTGATTGCTCAAATTTTGAGGAGTCCATCTCTCTACTGACTCCTGTAAATATAACAAGTGGCTGTCTCAGGAATCTTCAACTCTGATCCTCAGAGAGAATCTCATTCCAGTGCTTGCCCTAGATACTTATGGATGCTCCTATTTTTATTGATGTCTTTAGAACTTAAAAATGGAGCCCTGGATCTTGGCACAGCCAATTCTTGGTTATCAATGGTAACAGGAGACAGAGACAGCATGGATAATTAAAATCCATGGATGATTCAGAAACCCCATTTAAACCTACACGCTGTTAAACCACCAAAGAACTACTAACAATTAGGAATTTTTTTTTTTTTAAGGCAATTGGGGTTAAGTGACTTGCCCAGGGTCACACAGCTAGTAAGTGTCAAGTGTTTGGTCTGAGGCCGGATTTGAACTCAGGTCTTCCTGACTTCAGGGCCGGTGCTCTATCCACTGCGCCACCTAGCTGCCCCGAACTGCTAACAATTAGCAAAATTGTTTCACTTTCCATCTTCTTTCATTTCACTTGCCCACCCTTTGATAGAGGTATTCATGAGCAGTGAAATGGCTGGAAGTATAAAGAAGCAAAAGCAAAGGGCCCGTATATGTATCAGAGTGCCAAAGTTGGTAGAGTTTTTCTACCATATAGTTTAACCAATTCGGAGGTTTGCTTAATAGTTTTGACTTTGGGACTTAGAATTTGGGGAGCCTACCTATGTGATGGCTAGTCTTCATGTTTCAATTTAGGGCTGATGTAGGGTATGTGAAAAGCTAAAGTTAATGTCAGTCTTGTATGTTCAGTAGAAGTTGTGGAGTTGTTGACAGTCAGCAAATGTAGCAAATGTGATTTATGAAGTAAACTTCTTAAACTTTTTTTCTTATTTGCAAAATATTTCCTTAAAAGTGGTTGAGAGAAAACAAAAGATTTTCACAGCAACTTAATCTCTAATTTACAACAAAAAGAGTGGGGAGGAGACTTGGGTTCATATGCTTATATGTGTTACATCAGTCCTTGCCCTTTTTAATGTTCATAAACAGAATTAAATAGGCTCAGTTATCTTATCTGCTTCCAGATAATAAATTGAAATTCATAGAGCCAGTTTGTTTTTTGGCTCCTCATGTTTGTTGTTGTCATTTCTCAGGTCACACTCATTGGTTCTTTCCTACTACCAACTAACATAGCTATTGGTTGTTATTAGTAAATTGTGTTTCCAAATTCAAAGAATCAGTTTTAGAGCCTGAAGGGAATTCATAAAATATCCAAGTTTTATGAACAATGTGATATTCACAGAGAGTGTTCTGAGGACCACTGGTTTAAAATGTACTGGATTTGAGAAGGAATAACTGAAGACCTTGTTCTGTGCTTGTTCAAATTATATTGGAATAAAGCTTCACAGATTTTAATGTGATTGAAGTGCCTCGGCTATCCTGCTCCATGCCCTTTGTTAATAATTCTTTGTCTTTAGAATGTATTTGTCTTGTTTTTTTCCCCAGGAATAACATTTATAAATCAGATATTTTTAAGGTTCCTATTTTATATAGTTTCTTCCCTCCTCACATTTTTTTCACTTATACTTTTGGAAGCTGTGTGACCTTCGGCAAGTCATTTAACCTCTCGTCCCTTGCTTTCTTTAATCTGTAAAATGGGTTCAGAGTATGTGATACTTTCTGGCTCTTAAGATTTTGATTCTAAAATATGTTGTCAGAGGCTAATGTATAAAATAATTTTTATGACTTGGTATGGAAGGGAAGGAAGAATAAATTAGTTTGAGTTTTATTAATAATAAATTTTGGCCTTGATTATAACCTTTTGCAAATGAGTGTATTTGCATTTTACAAATATGCATCAGTTTCCTATTCTTAGGTTTTACACCAAGAAGGGAAGCTACAGTCCTGTCTTTAGATACTCAGTAAAGCTTAACTGGAGTATTAAAATAGCTTCTTAACTGAACTCCATGCCTGTAGGCTTAACAGTTTCATTCTACCTTATAAGTTTCTGCTTGCAATCTGCTGCTAGATTTACCATTTTTAGAGTGCTCCTTTCATTGTATAACTGCCTTACTCTAGTCTCCCTACAGTGGTTCACATGTTCTTCTGTAATAAAAACCTTTAAACTTTTTGTTTAACATCTTTAACATTCTGATCTCAATTTCTGTATCTAGCCTTGTCTTGTAAAGATTGCTGCCAAACCCAAACCCCGAGCTCTAACCGGCTTTGGTCTCTTCCAGACTATGACCCTTGGTTTATAAGAATATCTTCCTTTCTCTTTTCCTTCCAGCAGACAACTGGAGTGCCTCTGCCTATTTAAAACATATAACTTAAGTTCTGTAAGAGGCCTTCCATGACTGTACTGTATTTATGCCACTATTTTGACTTTAATGCCATTTCTTGTTATATAATTTATCTGCACACATTTTATTATTTTATCTCTGAAACTTGATTATGAGGTCTTGGAAGGTAGGCAGCTTAATGAATTAGAAAGAACACTAGATTTTGAGTCAGCAATGAATTTGAAACCCAGCTGTGCTATTTAGTGTACTGCCTTGGCCAAATCATGTGACCTTAGTTTCCTTATCTGTAAAATGAGGGGATTGGACTGAGGGGTCTCAGATCATTTCAGCTATAAATCTGTGATCCCACGACTTACACTTCTTTTGTCACCCTTCTCCCCCTCAGTGCTTTGAGTATAGTAGATGCTCAAATTTTTCTTTTTTTAACTAAAGAGCATTTATTGTATTCTCGACTAAGCCTTTGAGTTTTGAGGACATAACTAAATTCTGGAAAACCCTCACACAGAAGGGCAAGTACAGTGAACGTTATAAGCAAATATGAACAGCTGGAAGAACTGTAACGAAGTGCTAACTGACCAAAGAGAAGTTTTCAGATACTTAGTAAAAAAAGGAAGTAGGGAGGGACAGGGGCTTTAGATTGAACGAGACAGAGATCTCCTAATACATTCAACCTTCGCTAGATAGTAACAAAATGGAAATAGGACTTCTATAATACAAAGCTCCCACTACAGCACGCTGTACACACCTGTTTGCCATCCCCCAAAGCTGCCACTTGGATTATTTGCCGACTTGTTGGGCCTGCCAATGGAGAAGCATGCAGATCTTCTCTTTGGTCCAGTCTTTGTTGTAGGGCTGGTAGGTCTGAGTGTCCACTCGGTACACAAGGCAGCTAAGATCTGCCAGATCATTAATGAAATCAAACAACTGACAGATGTCATATGTGATAGAGGGACTGTTCTGATTTATTCTCTTCAATGCTCTTCATA